ATATATATATATATATATAAGTTGTTTAGAAAAATTACAATTACAAAGAAACCGTTTTTTGTGAAAAGTTTTGTGAAAGTTTTTGTGAACTGTGCAGTAGAAAAACAAGTTTTTTTTTGGTAAAACATACCTAAAACAATCTATGTTTTATATAAAACTTAAAATTTGTTCCTCTACTGCACTGCATACATTTACTTAAGAATAAATATAATAAGTATTATTACAATGAATAAATGAATAATAATCATTAAAATGTTAATATGTATATTTTTCCCTTAGAAATAGCTAATCAATTTAACAAATAATTACCAAATAAACAGCAAGTAACACATTAAACTAAATGTTAAATATTCGAGAGGAACAACTGAAGCAGTACACTACCTGACAAAAGTCGATCAAATTTTTAGAAACAGCAACTAATAACTTGACTTCTAGTTGATTATTTGGTGTCAGAAGTGGCTTATATGAAAGGCAAAGGCCTCTAGATTACGCTTATTTTACCAAACTAAAATATGATGATGCCTTGATTTTTTAATGATTTAATTAGGACAGTAAGGTCTGACTTTGCTTAGACAAAAGTCTTGTCACTAAACAGAAATGATGTCCAGTATAGAATATAAAGTCATGCTGCAGTGGAAACAGAGTGAATATTGTGTCTGACTCCTCATGAGCTTGGAGGACTGCATCCATACATCTCTGCAATGCCTCAAATCACTTATTAATAAAGTCATCTGCACTGGCTAAGAAAGCGTTCTTGCAGGACTCGATTCTATGGATTCATCTTCAATGCCTCCTCCATCTTACCCCAGACATGCTCAATAATGTTCATGTCTGGTGACTGGGCTGGCCTATCCTGGAGCACCTTGACTTTCTTTGCTTTCAGGAGCTTTGATGTGGAGGCGGAAGTATGAGAAGGAGCGCTATCCTGCTGGAGAATTTGCCCTCTCCTGTGGTTTGTAATGTTATGGGCTGCACAAATGTCTCGATACCTCAGGCTGTTGATGTTGCCATCCACTCTGCAGATCTCTCACACCCCCCTCCCCATACTGAATGCAACCTTAAACCATGATTTTTTCTTCACCAAACTTGACTGATTTCTGTGAGAATCTTGGTAACACTTTACAATAAGGTTCATTAGTTCATGCATTTACTAACATGAACTAATCATGAACAACACATGTACAGCATTTATTAATCATAACTGAACATTTACTAATGCATTATTAACATCCAACTCCATGCTTGTTAACATTAGTTAATGCACCATGAGTTACCAATGAACAACTGTATTTTCATTATCTAACATAAACTAACATGAACAAATACAGTAGTAAATGTATTGCTCATTGTTTGTTCATGTTAGTAAATGCATTAATTAACATTAACTAATGAACCTTATTGTAAAGTGTGACCAAAATCTTGAGTCCTTGCGGGTTCCAGTAGGTCTTCTGCAGTATTTGTGATGATTGCGATGCAGTTCAACAGATGATTCATCAGAAAAATCGACCTTCTCTCACTTCTCCAAATGATCAACTAGAAGTCGAGTTATTATTTGTTACTCTTACAACTGGGATCCACAACAAGATTTTTGTCAGGTAGTGTGTATTCTTGTAAAGCATACTTCAATCATTATTTTTATTTACAGCTAATAAAAAATATTCATAAACGATGTAAAAGTATAATTCAACTTTACAGCTAAATTTCCTTTTATTGATTTGTTTTAATACATCTTCAGTTTTAATTTAAAGTTATTTAATAATGTTGTTGAGTATTATGCCATTGCTATTACGCCCCATTCACACGGGGCGTCAGCGTCAATGCTTCCCAGAGTAGTAGCTTCAGAGTAGTTGCTCGTTGCAGAAGTTGGGACCAGCTCAACTTTTCAAGCGCCGACGGAAGCGTCAACCAATCAGATCGCTGTATGCAAAAACACCAGCTAGACAGTGGCCTATTGCTGACTGAATTTCATAGGCTGACGCTTCTTCCATGACGATCGTTTCAGCCCCAACTTCAGACACGCCTTCAGTCAAGCGTTGACGCTGAAGCCCCGTGTGAATGGGGCGTTAGATTTAAAGTGTGAAAAAGTCTGCAGAAATGTCATTTTATTTGATTTAAGCTAAGCTAGATGAATTTAAGAAATATTTTTTGGCTGAAATAATCAAAGTGCAATTACATAAATATTACATAATAATAATAATTTATGTATGAAGTAATAATAACAATACATTAATACTACAATTATACATAATTTAATTGAATATTATTATTATTATTAAACATAAAAATATATATTTCGGATGAACAGAAGCCCTGATGTGTCACAAGTGAATACAATGTTTGCTCTGCAGGTCAAAGTTCAGCATGCAGGCATTATAAAAGCTTGTCAGTGTCTTCTGAATGAATTGCGATACTTCACTATGCAGAGATATGAACGCTGCATGAACACTCACGCTATTCACTGTAAACACACCCGCTTTAGGGCTGATCATTAACTGGGGTCAAAGGTCAAGTTTAGTGATTCTATGGGAGCGTCAGAGAAAGCAGTGTAGATAAGAGCGGCTTATCTCAGACCTGCGGTAGACGATCTTCAGGTCTCTCCAAGGCAGGAAGTTGCAGGCTTTGGGCGGGCGGGACAGCACCATCTGCGTGAGGTCTCGAATGATCTTCCTCTTGTCCCGATCGCTGAGCACCGTGAACCACTTCTGCAGCCGCAGCTTTCCCTGACGACTGAACAGCAGAAGGAAGCGCATCTGCAGCATAAACAACACACACACTCATCTGTACTCAGAATCACACGCTTTAACTTTTAATGAACATCAAAACTTACACTTATTATTTTCATATGGATATTTAGTAGGGCTTTTTTGGAAACTATCTGTGTACTTCATGATTTTGTCAAAATTTATTTGCTTTTATAATCTTTAATCAAATATCAAAACCTTTCCTTCACATCTCGTCACATGGAATGCGTTTAGGGTGGGGCTTTCAGTCATTTAGGGCGGAGCTTTCAGTATATTACAGTGGGTCTATCAGTCCTTCAGGGTGGGACTATGAGTAATTTAGGTCTAGGCTATCAGTACTTTAGGGTGGGGTTATTGGTTCTTTAGGGCGGAGCTATCATTACATTAGGGCAGGGCTATCAGTCATTTAGGAGAATGGGGCTATTGGTTATTTAGGGCGGAGCTATTAGTCCTTTACATTAGGGTGGAGCAATCAGTCCTTTAAGGTGAGGCTATTGGTCATTTAGGGCGGAGCTATCATTACTTAAGGTGGGGCTATTAGTTATTTAGGGCGGGGCTATTAGTTCTTTAGGGCGGTACTATCGTTAACTTTAGGGCGGGACTAGCAGTCCTTTAGGGTGGGACGATTAGTATTTTAGAGCAGGGCTGTCATTAACTTTAGGGGAGGACTATCAGTAATTTAGGGTGGGGCAATTGGTTATTTAGGGCGGCGCTATCAATACTTAGGGTGGGGCTATTATTTATTTAGGACGGGGCTATTATTACTTTAGGGCAAGGGTATCAGTAATTTAAGGTGGGGCTATTGGTTATTTAGGGTGGAGCTATTATTACTAAGGGTGAGGCTATAAGTTATTTAGGGAGGGGCTATTAGTTCTTTAGGGCAGGATTATTAGTCATTTAGGGCAGGGCTATGAGCCCTTTAGGGTGGGGCGATTAGTTCTTAGGGGCGGGGCTGTGATTACTTTAGGGCAGGACTAAGTCATTTAGAGTGGGGCTATTAGTTCTTTAGGGTGGGACTGTTGGTTATTTAGGTTGGGGCTATCAATACTTTAGGGTGTGGCTATTATTCCTTTAGAGCAGGGTTCTCTTTACTTTAGGGTGTGGCTATCATTACTATAGGGTGTGGCTATCATTCCTTTAGAGCGGGGCTATCATTGCTTTAGGGTGTGGCTATCAATCCTTTAGGGCGGGGCTATCATTACTTTAGGGTGTGGCTATCATTACTTTAGAGCGAGGTTATCATTACTTTAGGGTGTGGCTATCATTACTATAGGGTGTGGCTATCATTCCTTTAGAGCGGGGTTATCATTACTTTAGGGTGTGGTTTTCAATCCTTCAGGGCGGGGCTGTCACTACTTTAGGGTGTGGCTACAAGTCCTTTAGGGTGTGGCTATCATTCCTTTAGAGCGGGGTTATCAGTCATTAAGGGTGGGGCAATTAGTTCTTTAGGGCAGGGCTATCTTTACTTTAGGGTGGGGCTCTCAGTCTTTTAGGGCTGTATATGATTATGAATTACTTAATTTTAAGAAAATACTGTGAACTGTGTATATTTTACCTTTAATGGGGTCTACAAATGGAAGTAGCCATAATTTATATTCAGACTGTCAGGCACTCCTCACAATGTGTGCTGAGTAAAGCACTGACTTGAATATAGCCATTAATTTAACACAAACACAAACGTACGCACATGCATGGGACTACATGCTTGTCGTGTGCAGAATGTCAAACTAAAATAGGACTAGTTAAAGTATAACTAGAAGTAATATGAGTCAAATGTGTTCTGACACACACACACTTGCTCTACATGTACACACTCTCTCACACTGAAGGTCAGACAAACAATATAAAAAATCTGAAGTTTTACTATATAAATATAAATATATACATATATATGTATAAATATAAATATATATATAAATATATATATATATATATATATAT